CGCACCCTGACTGGCTCATCTCCTCCCCGAGACCCTTCTGTAAGGGGATGTCCAGTGACCTACAAATGGGCTTTGGGTCTCCACTCCGCACTCCCCCCTTCATTCACTATGGTACACCTGTGTGCCTTAGCTTAGTACCATACTCCCTGGGGAGCTACCTCTGATCTTTGTGAATTTTCAATGCCAAGTACCTTGCTGATTTGGGTTTCCTTTTTCCATAATATAGAAAAGTTGGCTAATTTCTCTCTTCCACAGCTCACTCAATAGCATTATTTTCTGTTCAGAAAAATCCACACTGTGGAGTGATAGAGAAATGGGGAACTCCTCAAAAAAATCATGATCATCATGCAAACACTTCGTTTTTTCTCTCCTGTCTTTACTTCTTACCCATATAGCTCAGTTCCTCCGAAGTGTATCTCCCGAACTGCTACTCAGACAGGTCCCCAGCTGTGCACAGTGGGCAGTAGAAGCATCTTTATTATTTTTTTTCCTTTTCTTAAGTGGTTTGCCTTGGTCAAATTGCTCTCTTAAAGGACCTATGAGCTCATGACTTTTGTTCAAAGGTTCTTGGACAAAAAAAAGAGGCAAGTGATATTTCGGAAAAGTGATATTTCAAAAACCAGTTTTATCTTACCCTGAATCCTGCTTTGAGTCCATCGCAAATTGAAGTTCCACCACCAGCTCTTTCAGGCAAATTTTCAGTGATGCTTTGGTAAGCATTATCACCAGTTATTAGGGTTAGATTATTTTGGATTTTGGCTGCAGCATCAAATGTGACCATTCCAACCAAAGACCCCTTTTCAATAATTTGAATCAAGTAGAGTTCTGCTGCTTGATTCATTAGAATGAGGCGATCATCCTATGAGAAAAAGATTCATGGACAAGTTCATAGTCTCCTCACTACACTTGACAGAGTACGGTGAAAGAAAAGGTCATCCAGGGACCAAGCATTGTGATACTAGCGAATTGCTGAATTTTAAGCTTAAACAGCTCATTTTGAAAATGCTTAAGAACAAAATTTAAAAATCAATTCAGGTTATACTTGAAAAACTGAAAGATCTATATATTTTTATTTAAGTTTTATGTTCAGGAATTTTCATAAGGAAATAAAGATACTCATTGCAATGCAGCTTTTAATATTAAACAGTTGAAAATCTTCAAAGTATTCTGCAATAGATTGTTGAAATTTTGTTCAGTGCATACGATATGACTATTGTATTTCTTACATGGACATGGTTAAAGCATATTAATTATAAACACTGTAAGCCATTATGTAAGACATTTTCCCATTTTTGAGAAGATATGTGAAAAAAGGTTGGACTCACATATGCTTAGCTTGATAATAGTTACCTTGATAGTGGAATGATGGATAGCTTTTCATTTTTCTCATTTATATTTTTGGAATTAATTATAAGTAAAGGGTAAGGACTAAAAGTAATACAGCACCTAATGAACCTTAATACAATAATTATTTTTATTTTAGCATATTATCTTTTAATACTTATTTATATAAAACCATTGTACCAATATGTATTAGGATAATGAGTACCACATATATGAGTTTTTTAGGTATCTTATCATAATTAAATTAACTCATAGTTTAGTTATTTTATTATAAATTTATTATCCTTAATTATAAAACATGAGATAATTCATATGTTAGTTATCTTATCAGACCTAAACCTAATATATTTCTATTAGCTTAAAATTTTAATTGAGGAGAGAAAATTAACTGCCTTACTGTGTCCATGCTTCCCGATTTATCAAGCACCAAACAGACTGTTCGCTGCTTGGACCTGAGCAATGAAAATGTCGTAGGAGCCGGAGGCCTTGCGTCTGCCATGGGAGATACGTTCTGAAAGTCATCCGAGGCCATGATTATATCCCATGTGCTTCGGGAGTGGCACATTTTGTTGTGAAGGTTTGGGGCTTCTGTGTTGTGTGTCTCAGCTGTGCAAAATTCAGCCACCTAGGAAAAAAGTTCATTAAAAGATGATACTACTAGGAAGGGGGGAGCAGGGAAGGAGGGGGAAAAGGAAAATGAGGAGGTGATTCCAGGAGCGCAAGCGGAAAGCAAGTTTTGAGCATGGTGAGGGCAACGGATGTACAAGTGTGCTTGACACAATGGATGTATGTGTGGATTATGAGAAGAGTTGTACAAGCCCCAATAAAATGATTAAAAGGAAGATGATAATACTATAATTGATGACAAATATGTTATTACCTTCCTTTACACCATTCACACCCGCCACAGATTTTATTTCTTGACAATTAAAATGTATATTATAATCTAACATTCTGACATATATTTGGCACATCCAAATTCAATGGAGACAGGGCAAAACTCAATATTCACTGGAAATTTGGGGTAGTTCTCGTAGGTATAGGTAGATAATGGCCAAGGGGAAGGGGGCTTTAAAGAACTTATTTCCCTTCTAGATTCCTATAGGGCAGGAGAAAGATGGAAGATGACAGCCTTTAGTTAACTTTGATATAAATCTTTAGCATGCTCCTAAGAATGAAATAGAGAAAACCCTTTTAATTGCCAAACTATTTTCCATCTCTTGATTGTTGACCTAATAAATTGAAAACACATTTTAGCAGTTCACTCTCACTGCCATCAGGTCAATCCTGATTTCTACCTACCATATATACGCGAGTATAAGCTGACCTGAGTATCAGCCGAGGCACCTAATTTTACCACAAAAACTGCATTCAAAATGTGCTGAAAAACTCGGCTTCTACACGAGTATACACGGTACCTTATATGGCAGAGTAGAGAGTAGACATGCTCCTTAGGGTCCAAGGCTGTAAATATTTACAGGAACAGAAAACCTCATTTTTCTTTGAACCCTTGACCATGCAGTTAGCACCCTGATGCATAATCCACTCTGCCGCTAGGGCTTCCTTTCATCAGCTACTAGGTTGTGATTGACCCTGGTAAAGTCTTTGACACAAATAAAAACACTACGTTTGAAAAAGTAAAGAAAAACGAAGAACCGTGTTTGCATCTCTTTTAGTGGCAACTGATGAGTTGTCTTGAACAATTCTACCAGTCTCTGTTGAGTTACTACGCTCACTGCCATGGGGTCTATTCTGACTCTGAGCAACCCCATGACAGGGTAGAATTGCCTCTGAGTTTCTGCGACGGTGACTCTTTGTGGGAGTAGAAGGACTCGTGTTTCTCCAGTGGGTTTCAGTAGGCCTTGTGGTTAGCCGCCCAATGCATACTCAGTAGGTCACCAGGCTCCTTAGAGTGATTATAGAATCTATGTAAACCCTACCCCTTTTAACACCTGGAAAATATGTCTCCGCCACCTAGGAAGGACCCCACCTTGCCCTCAGCCTCAGTTTATAATAAGTATGTTTAGTAAAGTCGCTCTTTCAGAAAAGTCCTCATAACACATGTACGAGAACGAAATTATTAAAATTGATCATCTTTTACCTAAGTTCTAAGGTCTTGTTTTCTTTCTGATGGGGCTCTGGGTTATACCTCCCCCCTCCCCCATGGGTTATTAGGGTGGGGTGAATGGTTTGCCTTCGACTATTAACCTAAAAGTTGGAGGTTCAACCACACCCAGCGGCACCACGGAAGGAAGGACTGATGATCCATTTATGTCAAGATCGCAGCCAAGAAAACCATGTGGAGAAGTTATCCTCCAACACAGGGCTGCCAAGGGTCAGGATCAGCTTGGTGACACAGTGGGGCTATATTGGATGGGTGAAAAGTGCAGTCTGCAATCAAAGTGGTGATTCGTAGGAGGGGTTGCTGATAAGGAATGTCTCTCAAACCTAGTTCCTTTCCCCCTACCTCTTTCACTACTTTGCTCAGGACCTCGATGCCATGGCTTACTTACTGGTCTCTGTTTCCATCTTGTCCTTCACAATGAATAGAATTATCTTCCTGAAAGAACAAAGCTGGTCATATTGCCAATTCGAGGCGGATTGGACAAATCCAAACAATTTAGCACTGTAGGTTTTGGTTTCCTAGTTCAATCTAATTTTCCTCTTGCTCACCTTGTATCCTTTGCCTCTGTGACACTGAACTTCTCCCTCCCCTTAAGATGCGCCAGAAACTTTCACTGGGTTCTCCATGAACCCAAATGGTAACTTGTTATAAATTCTCTTTATTGCATATCTGCTTGAAAAATGTTCTAAGTATTAAAAAAATCTAAAGACACTTTGGTAGATAATTTGAACAACGCTCTACTCGTCATGACAAGGCAGCTTGGCTTTTCTTGATTCTTTGCTTTTGCAAAGCTGGTTCCTTGCCGCAATACCTTTCTGTTTCTTGCTTTGGAAGTTCATCTCTGTTTCCTTAAACCTCAGCTCGGAAGCCATCTCCCCAGAAGACTTTCTCGGATTCAGGGTGGAGATGGTGCTTCCTCTCCTAGACCGTAGTTTATGTCTTGGAAAGACCTCTTCTTACTTTGTATTATGTGCGCTTTTCATCGTATCTGTCACTTCCACTAAGATGAATGATTGAAGAATCCTCAAAACAAAACACAAAACAAAACAACAACAAAACAAACACACTGCCATTGGGTTGATTCTGACTCAGAACTAACGACTTGTAATGACCCACTGAAGAGTAGTTCTATTTAATAGTTTCTGTATTTCCAGATCCTAGTTCAGTTCTGAAGGAGCCCTGGTGGCCTGTCAAGTAAACATTGGAATGTTAACCTCTAGGTCAGCAGTCGAAGAGGAAGCTATCTGTTCCTGAAAAGGTTTGCAGCCCAGAAAGCCCTGTACAGGGTTGCTATGGGTTTTTGATTACACAGTGCTGGGCATGGTGTAAACATAATACAGATTAGCAGAGGTAACAATGCAAGTGAACACTCACTATTTTAGATCATCTCTCTCTTGGGTCTGAGTTTATGCCCTGGTTACAGATACTTTCTTAAAATGATGAGGAGCAAGTGTTATTTGGACGAGGTGCGTGATGAAAGTACAATATTTGTCTCTGCGGCACCCACATGCACTCACTGCCATTGAATCAATACCGACTCATCGCAACCCTGTAGGACGGGGTAGAACAGCCTCTGTGCGTTTCTGAGACTGTAACTCTTTACTGGAGTAGAAAGTCCTTTTTTCTCCTATGGAGTGGCAGGTAGTTTCTAACTGCTGACCTTGCAGTTAGTTGTCCTCATGCTTTTCAGTTATTACTTATCTCCCAGATCAGTAAGCAGGAATGATCTTCTAATAGTCCATTTCTTTTTGAGTTTTTATAGTTTGGAATAGACAAATACATTTCACTGATCTTCATCCATTTGCAGGCTGAACACTTGGATTGTCTACATGGATTCAGACTCCCCAAACTAGAGTGAACTTTCCTCAGTCACATGTCAAACAAGCTGAAAAACATGTCTTCCTATCAAACGTAGGTTGCAAGTCACAAATTTTAGGAGAAAATATCAAATCTACATTTTTATGTAAACTTCTAATACCTAATATGTTGGGTGCCAAAATAGTTCAATTTTAAATCGAAAAACAATAAGCCTTTATATATCTCATACTAGGGAGATATTTGTCCCTTGTGATTTTGTATATGAAAATTTGCTTTTTAAAATAAGCTGACTTTACTAGCTAAAGGTTGTGTACATAATTTTTATGTGATCTTTTTGATAACTTTAACACATTTTATATTTTAAAATATTTTTTAAAATTTTAGACCATTTAATTAGGTAAACACATCATGTTTGCATTAAGTATAATTGGGTACTTATCCAGCTATTTTATAAATTTAAAAAATAAAAATCAAGGTTTAATTTCTGCTCACATGCTAAACACTGTGTATATTTTATATTAATTTTTGCAGTATTGTTGTAAACCTATAACAACAACACTGTGAGGCAGAGATTATAATTCCTATTCAACAGATAGAAAACGAAATCGCAGAGTTCCCAAACTGTGTCTAGTGACACAGTTTGAAAATGCCAGTCTGGGTTTCGATAACAAGTCCAACTCTACTGAGCTGCATATACGTAAAGTAGATATTTCAGGGCAAACATTGGCTTTGGTATTTGAATTATTGTGATGCTCTTTTTAATAGGTTAAATGGAGGATGGTTGTCAACGTTTTCTTCAAGCCTGCTTGAGACATGTGTGTTTACACAGTATCACTTTGCAACGGCTTCATGTGTTTTTCCTGTACAAATTATGGAAAATCTGAACCATCGGCACTTCCCTTCTTCTTCTTGTTCTTGTTCTTCTTCTTCTCCATCAGCACTTTTGAAAGCTACAGAAAGAATGACTGCGGAAAAATCGGGTGGTTAAAACTCAGAATTACAGGCAAGGCTGTCGCTCCAGCTCAGAGGTCAAACGAGGGAAGCAACGTTAATGAGGATCTTAGGTGACTCCCCACAGCGCAGGTTGAAGCGGGAGAAGAGGGAAAAGCTCCTGAGAACAGGTAGAGATGCCCAGACTTCCTGAACCTGTGCGGGAGAAAATGACTTCTAAATCCCAGTGAGCTCTCTTCTTCCTGTTGGTACAGGTATTTCAAAGCAGACCATCTGACTTTCTTAACAGATCTTTTTCTGCAGTGTTTTCCTGTTTTTGTTTTTGTGAGACTGGAAAAGATAGTACTTACCGATTTGAAGTTTTGCATAAACATGATGGATTCCTTTGCAGTTTGAGATTTTTCTGGGATGAATGTACATTTTGCTTCGTACAGGCCCGAATGTGGATCACGTTCACAGGGCCTTATGTCGCAGGTGCCCCGCTGGCACGCTTTTAAAACCACATGAATACCAGTGATGTTAGTTGAACATCTATGATGAAAGAATTCGATTTCATTGTTATAAGACGATTGCACACATCATGAATTAAGATCCATATTCTAAATCTTTCCTCCAGGAACCATGTTCTACACCATGTACCAATTTATTCCATTTTGACAGACCAGGCAAAATTTCCTACACCTATTTACAATAAACTTAACAAGGATAATGATGTCCACTGATGTTTACTAACCATTCATCACTCATTATTGTGATAAATAACTCCTTTATCCATGTAACTTGCACTCACGATGATAGCAATTCCCAACTCATAGGAATTTATCCTGAAGAATGAGTTAAGAGATAGTGAGGAATTGTTTCTTATTAAGCATTATGCTTAAAAATTCAAATTTCCATGTATGGTGTTGTACATGGATTAGTGTTAACAGTACTGTTCAATTTACAGTTTGAGAACCACTGAACTAGACAACAGGAAGAAATAAAAGTAATCCCTTCATGGTTGTATGTTCAAATTATTTGGTCCTTCTGATAATTAAAGCCATTGTCAAATTTTTCAAGGTGAACGGGAGACAGCGTGTGGATGAAGGATTCTAAAGAAGTCCTGTTTGTCAGCTAGATTTACTCCTCTCCTTGGGTATTATTAAACTTCATAGCATTAACCTGTGTTAATAAGTGTGTTTACATTACAAAGATTGAGGGAGCTAGGGAGTCAAGTCTTCCAAGGAAGTTTGTTTTAGAATAAACCTGAAGTTAAACTCACATGTAATGAGGCTTGAGTAGCTCACACCAAGTGCCTGGCACATAGCAGAAGTTCAGGGTCATTTTAGACTCTTGTTTTTATGGAGGTATCTCGTTTTAATGAAATGTCAAACTCCTGAAGAAATACATATATATTATATAATATTGTTCTTTTTAAAAATATAATATTGTTCTTGTAGTTAGCAGCCCAAATACTTACAAGAAAGGATAAAGTAATCTTTAGACATACCTTGGACCTGGATTGGGAAAAATATGTCCTAGACAACCACAAAAGACTGCCACAAAAACAAAACAAGAGCAACAAACATAAAGATGTTTATGTATAGTCCATGGCATCTTCAACTCTCAAAACTCACTGCTATCAAGTTATGCCCACTCACAATGACCCTATAAAACAGGGTAGAACTACCCATGGGAGTTTCTGAGACTGTAACTCTTTACAGGAGTAGAAAGCCCAGACTTCCTCCCATGGAGTGGCTGGTGGTTTCCAACTGCTGATCTTGTAGTTAGCTGCTCTCCGCATAACCACTACACCACCAGGGCAGACTCCCCATTGAGTTCAGTGTGAGAGAAGCTTATGCATTTTGCTTATGCACTCATAAGGCTATCTATACCCAAATGAAGGGAGAGGAAAGAATTTAGTGAAGACTCATTTGATCAGAAGCTTGAAGGATAAATTAACAGTTTGGATAAGATAAGTGGTTTCTGGGAAAAATAGCATAGAACGAAGGTGGAGGCAATGGGTGCACAGGGATGGAAGGTCAGTCAGCTTAGTGGAGGTAAAAACACAACAAAGAGAAGCTTGTTTTTTAATAAAAGACTCTTAACTAATAAACTTTTGAGCTCAGAGATTTACAGTGAACCCTCGTTTATCGCGGTTAATCGGTTCTAGACCCTACCGTGATAAATGAAATTCCGCGAAATAGGATTCCTTATTTGTAAATCAAATATTTTCGTAGTTAGAGCATAGAGGACATGAAAAAACACCCTTTAGTCACCATACACTCGTATTACCCAATTTATTAAATGAAAAAGGGAAAATACAGTAAAACGTTTTGGACGTTACAATTATCATTTATTATTTATTATATTATTTATGGCATCAAGCGTGTACAGTATGAGCCAATCAGTGGCAGTAATGACAGAGCATGCGCTGTTACACAAAAACCGCGATAGAGTGAAGCCGCGGAAGTCGAAGCGCGAAGTGGCGAGGGTTCACTGTATTTCCCATTACATTGATTTCCATTTTTTTTCAGTATTCTTTAAATACGCCATGTACTTGTTTTTAATTGAAAAGATGTTAAACATCTCTTCTGTTCATCAATAGGGCCTATTAAAATCCACCTAGACTTATGTTTCTTAAAAAAATCAATTTGCTCATTTATTCTTATAGGTACTTTTGTTCTTTTTTAAGATTGGGACTAACTGAAAAGTAAAATCTACTAGGGGGCTTCAAAAAGTTTGTGGAAATATTCTATTACTTTTAATTCCAATTTTTCAAGGACTTTTGTGAATTCCCTAATAATTACCATGAATCTCTTATAGTTTAATTTATTTCAATGACACAGATTTGCCTTGAAAGTTGCAAATCAAGTAGAAAAAAATGAATGGATAGAAACCTTAAGCCCCGTTCCCAGGTCCCTTGGGGTTTAGGCTACAGCCCTAAAATACTGAGAGTTTTAGCTAGCCTTTTCTTTTCTCCTCTGCAAGTAACTTGCTTTTGAACAATCCCCCAGACCCTGAAATGATTCCCAAGTTCTGCTTTCTCTTCATTCCAAGATGGAATCTCCAGGAGGAAGGGGACTCATACACAGAGGGGGAGGTTGGATATTGCAAGAAACTTGTATGAACATTTATCTTCCGAGTTGAATGTTGTCTAGCTGGCTTAGAAAACTAAAAAGTCGTATATAAAAATTTAAAAAATAGTTTCGTTTAGTCCCACGATACCTTGTTGCTTCCATAGTGTTCCTTCTGGACACATAGAAAGGCTGGTCAGTGTTATACTCATCAAATACTCCCCATCGGAGGTGGGCCCATTCATGAACAAATACTTTGCCTAGGAAAGAATGTTGCCACTTATGAATGTTTAGTTTTAATATTTTGATACAGTTGATTTATGTTTTAAATAACCTGATCTCTTTTATACCTTTTCATTAGATAAAAAAAAATAGAATTGGTTAGGAGACAATAAATGATTAATTTTGTTATTACATGTTCCCCCCAATCAAAGATATATAATACATTGAAGCTAAGACTATTTCCAAACAAAAATATTACTTAATACCTATTTTTCTCTTCTTAAAATCTTTAAAAATACCATTCATCTCAGTGATTTTTTTTTTAACCCAAATGGAAATAAAAACATAAGTGTAAATTAGACCTGCCTACCTCGGGGCCCATAAATAGGCAAAGGATCAGTCAGCAGGAATTTTGGCGTCAAATGTATATATTGTCCTTTTTGTCCACATTGTCCATACTGAAGTGTATACGGGTCATCTCCAAACTTCAGATACGGCTCAGCAACCACGACGTCTGCCTGAAACAGCAGCGCAGTCGGCAGTCAGAACAGATCCCCAAAGCGTTAGAAATATAGATTCTTTCACTTAAATTTTAAAAAATTATATTATTAACTAAAGTACTGACAGTAATTACCAATTAACTAAGCAATTGCAAGTAGTTATTTTTAAAAAGACCTAGGAAGACAGCAAGACTGTAGGAGCCAGTTGAAAAAGCCTACCTGCTCATAGGATTCTTGCTTTGGCATTAAATACTCAGGTTTTGACTTCCAGGTCATTGGAATTAAAATGCTTACATTCCTGAAATACACTCTTCGTTTGGTGGCATTAAACAGATAGGTGGAAGCGTCAAGAACCATTTCCTGTTAAAATTTAAACAGTTTAAGATACCAATTTTGCAATGAAATGAGCATGAAAGAGAACATACATGCCAGAGGCTGCAAATATAAGGTCTCTTTCCTCAAACATTTGGGCCAAGACGAATTAAAGAGGAGCCCTGGTGGTGCAGTGGGTTATGGGTTGGGCAGTTTGAAACTGCAGGCCGCTCTGCGGGGGAGACATGAGTCTTCCTACTTTCGTCAAAAGTTGTTGTTGTTGTTAGTATTTTCACTCATATGTTTTTCTGTATATGAAATCCAGGATAGATAAATCTGCAGAGACAGTAACTCGATTAATGGTTTCTTAGGGGTATGGTAAGAGAGGTTCGGGGGAAATCGGGAGCTAATAACAATGAGTAAAAGAAAGAAGAAAATATTTTAAAATTGATTGTGGTGATGATTCTACAACCCTTCTTAATATGGCTAATTATTGAATTATATATAGTATGTGTACATTATATGCCAATAAATTATTTTTTTTAAAAAGGAGTTATAGTCTCAGAAACCCAACGGGGAAGTTCTAGCCTGTCCTAGTGGGTTACTATGAATCAGAATTGATTGGATGGCAGTGAGAATTTTTTTTTAAACTGAAAAATAAGTCGAGTTTGATTGTAGCTCTGCATTCTGTAAATAACTCCCACTAAAATGTAAGATAATGAAAAAACAGGCAATATGTTATTCCATCTGAGCCTGAGTCTTAAAATGATCTTGCGTTGTATTAAACTAGGATGTAAGTCCACAGCTTTGAGTTTTCTCTCACGGATGAGCGGTTGAATGCAAGGAGAGGGAAAGTTCAAAGCTGCGGACCTTACATCCTGGTTTGACCCAACACCAGGTTATTAAACACCTCAGGCTTTTAATGCTTACAAGCTCTCCATGCTGTTAGATGGAGTCTCTAAGTGATTCCTATAAATTTTAAGGTTCAGAGAGAAAGAGAATGTAATCTTAGTTGGAAGTGACTATATAAAATTTGCTTTGTTCTACCTCCACATTCTTATAGGTTTGAAACTCAACATTTTCTGTTTTTACATCCTGTCAGACCAGCTTTCAGCATAAAGGCTTGGGGATAAGAGTAAATATGTCCGGTGAAATATAGAGAAGATGAAGATTAGGATCCTGTGCTGGCACATTGCTTACTTAAAGATTTGTAATGAAGTTGTGAAAGTAAGCTTTTTATTATTTTATAAAAGTAACTTATTATTCATAGTGTGACTTGAAAAACCCCAACAGTTTGATGCATTTTTTTTGGATTATCTTCTCATATGGACAATGTTCATATAGGGCAAAATTTTACCAAGGACTAATGAAAATAACAACATATGATGACATAAATTACTTAATTTTGCTCTTTTATACAACAAAGATTTTAACTCCTGTTCTTGGCCATCTCCCAGGGCTACTGAGGAAATTAAAGAAGATAGTGTATACTAAAGTACTACATGAAGTATTTTATGGTTTTGATTTATACAAATGAAATTTGGAAGATAAATTAACCTAAAAAACACATAATGCTTTCTTTAGGACCAATCATAAAATCTTTTGTATTTTTTTCAATGGTGAATAAATATAAAAAACAGAAGAAAAAAATGACTGTAGAAGATGATAAACATCTGGGGATTAAATCTAGGTGATTAAATCAAGAAGTGATTTTTTTTTTCAAGATAAAATTTGAGAATAATCTGTAGCTCAGCTATTTAAAAATATTAATAATCCAGTTTTATAATAGTTTGCTAAGAAACTGAGTAACACTATTGATACATATAATAGAAACACTTTAAAATTAAGTAGAAATTGATCATGATAGATTAGATACATATTGCATAAATAATAGTTTTTGTCAAAGTCATTTTTTGGGAGTTCTGATAATTATGTTTAAGTACGTGCCCGTGTATGTGCCTAGGCAACATGAAATCAGTGTATGTGTATAAAAAATTTTCCTTTCTTACCTTTATATTTTGAATGAGTTTTTCATCTTCTGGTACACTGGGATTAATTGCAATTACAATGCCATCATATCCATTATCACTTAAAGTTACCATTGAGCTTTTCACTCCAAGCAAGAGTTGTGGAGCCAGGCATAGCACAATGTACAGACTGAACACCATTTTGGCATCTGGTAAAGCAAACCTTTGGGAATAGAGTATTTATGTGTTTCCTTAACTTAGGAATTTGTATGTAAACCAAAATATTTGCATAAATATAATATAATAAATTGCTAAAATATCTTGAACAGCTTCCTTAATTTACTCATTCTAAAGATTTAGTGGTTGACTAGCAATGGGGATTTTGCTAAACACATTTATCATATTTTCATGACAGCTAAGGTATTAATTATTCATTGAATCAAACAATTCCTTTGGATTTTTAAAAATAATCGTCATTATGTTTTGACTGTAGTTGCATTGTTGTTATAACTTTCAAATAGTATTAGAGATCTGTTTGCAGAAAAACACCCTGTGGGTGGTTGAGGAACTGGAGTGAAAAGGACCAGGAAATGGGCCATAACAAAAGGCTCCTGAAAGGCAGAGAGAAAGAACTGGAGAGGGAGTGGCAACAAGAAGGGGTTACATTCTCCCTTTAGATGACAGCAGTATGAGCCTAGGGCTCAGGGTTAGCTATTAGGTCAAGGGGAAAATGGGGTTTATGATTACCTTTTGTGACAGCTATAGAGTATTTTGGTTATCAAATAAGATACTTTTATATATTTGTGTTGCCTTCGATTGAACCCAAACTTGTCAGTGTGCTTTAGCTGGAAATAATTGCATGTGTAGCATTGTGACTTCGGTTCTAGAGTCAGATGAATCTAAATCTAAGACTTGCTTTGGTTATTAAACAATGTGTGATTTTTACAAGAGTTATGTGACTTTTAAAATCTTTTTTTTCAAGCCTAGTGGCATTCATACACACACACACACACACACACACACACACACACATTTATTTATTTATTTAAGGGAGTCCTTAGCACAGTTGGGCTGCTAACTACAAGGTCAGCAGTTTGAAACCATCAGCCACTCTTCCGGAGTCTGAATAAACTCTATGGCAGTGAGATTATGATTTTTGCTTGTTTTTCATTTCTCTTCTGCAATATAATAATAAATATGGGTTATTGGAAGAATTAAATGAGATAATATGAAAAGAACTTCACATAAAGCTTCTGACACCTAACGGGCATTCAAAATATGACCTATTATTATTATTGGTTGATATATAGACAATATCTATGATATATTCTGTGAACTGACATCTGGTTTCTTTTCCTACTTCCTGAAAAATATTTTACAGATACCTCATGGAAAGAGTGTAAGCTTATAAGGGTATATGGGCAAAATTATTACTTTTTATATTATTTTGCTCCTAAAAGCAAATGTCATTTTTGTAAAATGATATATAGAAGGAAGTTCACAAGAGCTCATTTTTGGATATGGTACACTGACTCTGAGGTTTCTGAAACATCACACCTCTGCACACCAGTTGATACTCCATTTCAATTATTCAATCATAGTGAATTCCTGTAGAGATTAAGTGGAATTAGGCCACATATTGACTGTTTTAAAAACTTGAAGCACTGAAGAATAGGACGAATTGGTAGCATAATTTCCAAGTAGATACTCCCTCACAATTCTCTTTCTCAGACTCCTTTATGTCATCATCTTTGAAATTTCATTGTTTGTGATCCATATTCATGCCTGACATTTGTGAATATTCTCTTTATTATTTTCGCAATGTAAACTTCTCTACATACACGTAAACTTCGCAGTGTAAACTTCTTTTTCATACACGTATCTGTCTTTTTATTCATTCTCTCAACCTATTTAGGGAACACTGTGTGTCAAACACTCTGCCAACCAAGGGGTGTAGATCTTGATTAAGTTATAGCGCCCACCTTCAAGGCATCGATGGTTCAGTGTGGATATTGGGTGCGAGTAATTTTTGGATGGATTTCCTATTGTTCTTTTTTTGTAAAT